CGCTGTCCCTCAGCTCTTCAGCTCAAGGCTAGCTCTCTACCACTTGAGCCACAGCACCACTTCCGGCTTTTTTCTTTTTGTTTATGTGGTGCTGAGGAATTGAACCCAGGGCCTCGGGCATGCAAGGCAAGCGCTCTACCACTGAGCCACCTTCCCAGCCCTGCAAATTGCATTTCTGGTTAAAGATTTTTATCTGTAATATGTAAAATATTTTCAAATGTAAGAATACGACTCAGTTTTTCAAATGAACAAATAAGATAAATAGCACATAAAAAGATATCTAACCTCTTTAGTAGAAAAATGCAAATTAAAAATACAGTTAAATATTATCAGATACCAATCAGAATGGCTCATAACAAAACAGTGTACCAGATATGGGAATAGAAAATGGTATAACCATCGTGGGAAGTTTCACAGTTCTCATTCTCTAAACATAACCTAGAAAAATACCTAGCACTTCCTACTTCTAGATATTAACCCGAGTAAAGTGAAACTTGGGTTCACACAAAAATCTTTTTTTTTTTTTTCACACAAAAATCTTAACCAAAACCTGGCAGCAACCCCAGTGCTCCTCAGCTGGAGACTTGATGAGCTGTGTTACAGCCAGGCAGTGCAGTTACCTTGAGCAGTGCAAGGAACAGGCTCCTAAAGTATGAATGCCACTTACCTTAAATGCATTTTGCTAAGAGAAAGACACTGCATGGTTCCATCTTTTTTGAAATGGCTAAACTTCCCGGGACAGAAAAATAGAGCATAGTTGTCCAAGATAAAGATGAAGAGGGAGGCCAACACTGGTGCTCACGCCTGTAATCCTACCTACTCAGGAGTCTGAGATCTATGATAGCAGTTGGAAGCCAGCCACAGCAGGAAAGTCTGTGAGACCATTATCTCCACTAAAAACCACCCCAAAAAAGCCAGTAGAGTGCTACCCTTGAGCAAAAGGTCAGGGATAGCAGCCAGGCCCAGTGTTCAAGCCTCAGGAATGTCACCCAATGAATCAACAAATAAGCAATAGGGAAATAAATGGTAAAGACTAGGGAATCAGTCAGGTATCCCCTACTAGAAAATCTAAGACCTTCGTGACACCTCTGTTTCTTTAGCTTTCTGTAGTGGAAAGAGGTAGGCAAAGTAAAGCAAGGTTCTGAAGCTTTAGTTTCAGAAGAGGTGTGAAATACTTGTGCGTTATCTTAAAGCCCTTCCCATCCTCTCTGCACAGGGCCTGAGGAAAAGACTCATTAAACATAAGGTTACATGGTAAGCTGTCTTACACATTTTATTTTTTTTTTATTTTTATTTTTTTGGTCCAGTCATGGGGCCTGAACTCAGGGCCTGGGCGCCATCCCTCAGCTCTTCAGCTCAAGGCTAGCGCTCTACCACTTGAGCCACAGCGCCACTCCTGGCTTTTTTCTTTTTGCTTATGTGGTGCTGAGGAATCGAACCCAGGGCCTCAGGCATGCAAGGCAAGCTCTCTACCACTGAGCCACCTTCCCAGCCCTGTCTTATACATTTTAAATGTGGTATAACTTCCCAAAATCTACACGTATTTTTCAAGAAGACTGAATTCTATATAATACTGATGCTATCTCTACTGCTTCCTGACACCTGGAGAAATCTCATTTCTGGTCTTAACATTTTGTTTCTGTGCCGGTATTGGGGCTTGAACTCAGGGCCTGGGTGTTGTTGCTTAGCTTTTTGCTCAAGGCTAGTGCTCTACCACTTGAACCACAGCTCCACTTTCAAGTTTTTGGTAGTTTATTGGAGATAAGAGTCTCATGGGCTGGCAGCCTCCTGAATAGCTAGAGTTACGGTGTGAGCTGCCAGCACCTGGCTTTAACATTTTAAACCAATTCCAAGTAAAATGTCAGCATCTCCCTTTTATGTATGACCATGATTACACTGATTGGATTTTGTATTTTTTTAAGTCTTTGAAAAAAAATTTCAAGTGTGTGTTTGGTTTTTGTCAGTGGTGGTGGTGGTTCCAAGATTTGAACTCTGGGCCTCAAACTTGAGGCGCTAGTATTCCACCACTTGAGCTAGTCCTTTAGCCCAGCCTTTTCTAGTTATTTTGGAGATGGAGTCCTGGAGTCTTTTTCTGCTTGGCTGGATTTGAACCTCAGTCCTCCAGTTCTCCACCTCCTGGGTAGCTTGGATTACAAGCAAGAGCCACTGGCACCCTGCAAATCTCAATTATTAAATCAGTTAAAGTGATGGTTTACTATCATATGATTACTAACATTTGTATGTGAAAAAAGATATGTGTATTTGTGTACACATACGTGTATTTGTGTGTGTGTGTGTGTGTGTGTAGTTTTCTTCTAGCATTAAGAAAGAATAGTGACACTGGGCGCCAGTGGCTCACGCCTGTCATCCTAGCTACTCAGGAGGCTGAGATCTGAGGATCGCCGTTCAAAGCCAGCATAGGCAGGAAAGCCTGTGAGACTGTTATCTCCAATTAACCACCAGAAAACCAGAAGTGGCACTTGTGGCTCCAGTGGTAGAGCACTTGCTTTCAGCTGAAGAGCTCAGGGACAGCACCCAGGCCCAGAGTTCAAGCCCCATGACTGACAATAATAATAATAATGAAAAATCAACAATTGTAGCCTTCTACAATAAAATTAAAATACTGTATTTCTGACCTATTCCTTTTTTTTTTTTTTTTTGTCGGTCGTGGGGCTTGAACTCTGGGCCTGGGCGCTGTCCCTCAGCTCTTCAGCTCAAGGCGAGCCCTCTACCACTTGAGCTACAGCGCCACTTCCTGTTTTCTGGTGGTTTATTGGAGATAGGAGTCTCACGGTCTCTCCTGCCGTGCTGGCTTTGAACCGCGATCCTCAGATCTCAGCCTCCTGAGTTGCTAGGATTACAGGCATGAGCCACCAGCGCCCGGCTGACCTATTCCTTTTTATCTTTTCTAGAAAGCCCTTTTCTAGAGGTATTTCTTAAGTGTCTACTAGCCAAATGCTAAGTCATAATTATTTCTAGTAGTTGTATTAGGTTTAAAGAACATATAGACAGACAGAAATAGATACATTATTTTAATCATTCCTCACAACAGTCCTATGAAAGCAGAAGACAGGTTAGAGATGCCAAATCATTTTTTCATTTACTTACTCATCTGTTCATTTATCAACAAATATTTAAATGAGCACCCACTCTGTATTATTGCCTGCCAGCCCTGAAAACATAAAAACATTGAGCGCATCTGTGCCCTTAAGGATTTTTAGAAGTTGTCATCTGAAGTCACTAGAAATGGCCAAGCAGTTCTTCTGATGCCAGTGTTTTCTATTGCCACAGTGTTTCTCTAAACTAAAAAGTAGCTTGGGATCTAACTTATGCTTGATGATAGGTTCTAGAAGACCTCTAACTGGGGACCTGAGAATGGAAACAAGATCAAAAACCATTTTGGGGCTAGGGGTGTGGTTCAGTGGAAGAGCACTGGCCTAGTATGTCCGAGGCCCTGCATTCAGTTCTAAAGAAAGGGCGGAGGGGATGAACAGCAGCATCTGCCTGGTGATGCCCAGTGGTGGCCACTGGCAGCACAAACAATACAGATTGCTTCCTTGGCCTGATTCTAGGATTGGTCACTGCTAACACTGGGGGATGCCAGATGGAACTTAGTCTTTGCCCTCAAGCAGAGACCCTGAGGGCCATATCCACCCACCAGCCAGTACAAGGAACATCCTGACTGCTCTTTCCCCCTACAAAGGGTTAAGTCTGTGCAGAGATATTGTAAGGTGTGCTCTCTTATTCCCACCGGGATTAAGAGAGTTCCAGTCATTGAGTGCCAAGAAACTGTCAGTCACGATCTGCTTTGTGTGAGGTGTCAGTTAGAAGTGCCTGGCACTTAGTGCCGGGCCAAGTGCATTAAGGCAGAAGCAGGAGTTATGTGTTGAGTGATTTTTTCCTTTACAGGAGTAAGTAAACAGCAAGGGAAATGAATGGTGAGGGAACCCATTCCTGCTTTGTGTAATTAGTAGCTTCTGCTAGAAGATGTGGGAAGAGCACACCACACCATTGGCCGGCTCTCACCAGAGCCTCTTCAGATGGCAGCTCTGTGGACCAGTAGACCATTCCACACCAAGCTACTGGACCAGACGTTAGGAATTTCAGATGTCACTTTGGAGAAAGGCCTCCAACCTGTGTGCAGGTGCATTGTGTCCTCCCCCACACCAGCTCCTTTTCTGTCTTGCACAGGTACATGTGGAAAAGCGAAAAGCCGCTGTACTACTCACACATTGACAGATCCGTAGCTTATAAAAGAAGAGGTGAGTTGGATTCTTTCCTTGCCAATACCAGGTAGCAAAACAGTTGCAAATAGCTAAGGATCTTGACCTGGAAAGTGGTACATCAGTAAGTTCTTAACTTTTTTTTTTTTCTCTCATCCTGAGGCTTGAACTTTGGGCCTGGGCACTGTCTCTGAGCTGCTTTTGCTCAAGGTAGCACGCTACCACTTGAGCCACAGCACCACCTCTAGCTTTTTTGAGTCGTTTACTGGAGATAAAAGTCTCACAGACTTTCATGCCCAGGCTGGCTTTGAACTGCAATCCTCAGATCTTAGCCTCCTGAGTAGCTAGGATTACAGACATGAACCACTGGTACCCACCTCAGTTTTTAACTTTTTTGAAAAAATGGTTTATTTTTATTACAAAGGTGATGTACGGAGGGGTTGCAGTTACATTAAGTCAGGTAAAGAATATGTTTCTTTTTTGAACAGTGTCCCAGTTTTTCCCTCCCGTCCTCACCCACAGTTGTATAGAATTTTTAACTTGAAATGTACCAGTATGTATCCAAAGGAACATTATCTTCTGCCAGAAATCTGTGGATTTAGTTCAGGAAATTGTCTTTACTTAAAATACAAAATTCCAATCAGAATCTAAAATCCTGTGTGTCTTTTAGAACGGTCTGGAGAATTGCCCTTAGATTATCTTCTTCATTTTTTTCCTAAAATTGTGATAAGTACATACAAAATTTAGCTTTGTAGTCTTCCCCCCCACCTTTGGCATTCGTGGGGTTTTAAACTCTGGGCCTTGTGCTTGCTAGGTACTCTACCACTTCAGCTACAGCCATCCATTGTAGCCATTTTAAGCAGCTTTTGTCTGCCCCTCATCCAGTGGCAGTTTTGCCTCATGTTTCCCTCACACATTCTTATCAAAACTCAGAAAAACCACCTGAGTGTGGTTGTGCATGCTTATAATCCCAGCACTCAAAAGGCTGAAGTGAGAGCATCTCAAGTTCCAAGCCAGCAAGACCCTATCTCAAGAAACTAAAAAGGGGGCTGGGAAGGTGGCTCAGTGGTAGAGTGCTGGCCTTGCATGCCTGAGGCCCTGGGTTCGATTCCTCAGCACCACATAAGCAGAAAAAGCCAGAAGTGGCACTGTGGTTCAAGTGGTAGAGTGCTTTGATTGAGCTAAAGCGCTGAGGAACGGTGCCCAGGCCCATAGTTCAAGCCACACGACTGACAAAAAGCCAAGAGGACAACTTGGGTTGGTGCATTCCAATCAAACCCAAGGTTTTGTTTGTGGTTTAAATTTTTTGTTTTATTTCTTTTTTTTTTGGTACGTTTTTTATTGTAAAAATAGTGTACAGAGGGGTTACCGTTACATGAGCAAGGTAATGAGTACATTTCCTATCAAGCATTGTTGCCTCCTCCTTTGTTTTTCCCCTACCATCCCTTCCCTCCCATCTCCACAATTACCACCCCCCCCTTTTGTTTTATTTCTTTGCCTCTTTTCCTCCATTTCCAGAAATGGTGGAGAATCTACAAAGACAGTTTAGTACACTGGCTGATTCATCACCAACTACTGAAAAAAAGCCCCCTTCCAGCTTCCAGTTCAGCTGGACGGCGGAGGACACCTGTTTCCACGGCCATCGCCTCCAGGGCGTCCTGCTAAAGAAAGGCCAGGCCCTGGCGACCAAGAACTCATTGTATTGGCTCAGTACCCAGAAATTCTGTAAAAGGTACGTGGTTCTTTCAGAACTTGAGGAGAAAAAAAACATGATAAAAGCTCTAGTATGGGGGCTGGGAAGGTGGCTCAGTGGCAGAGCGCTTGCCTTGCATGCCTGAGGCCCTGGGTTCGATTCCTCAGCACCACATAAGCAAAAAAAACAAAAAACAAAAAGAAAAAAGTCGGAGGTGGCGCTATGGCTCAAGTGGTAGAGCGCTAGCCTTGAGCTGAAGAGCTGAGGGACAGTGCCCAGCCCCAGAGTTCAGGCTCGACAACTGGACCCCCCCAAAAAAAATCTCTAGTATGGCCTGAAGATGTATTTTGTAAGTAATGAAAACCCACATATTTAAAAGAGCCAACTAGGGTATCGGTTGGAATTAGAAGATGATGTTCTGTTTTGTTTTGGTGCTGGGTATTGAGCAGGGCCACGTGTTAAGTGATCCTCTACTAACGCCTGGAAGATGCGAAGCTCATAGTCAGAGAGTCCAAATTATACTGAGTCTTGTGTAAGAAAACTTGTGGGGAGGGGCAGCCGCAGGGGAATCAAGGAAGATGACCTCACACAGCACAAACTGCTCCCCTAGCTGCGGGGGTACAGCCAGAGAGCCTGCTGTTACCACAGACTGCTTTTTCTGAGCGAATTGCAGCTGTCATTCTCATCTGCTCCTAGTTCTTTTTTTTTTTTTTTTTTTTTGCCGGTCCTGGGGCCTGAACTCTGGGCCTGGGTGCTGTCCCTCAGCTTTTCAGCTCAAGGTTAGTGCTCTACCATTTGTGTCGTAGCCCCACTTCCAGCTTTTTCTGCTTATGTGGTGCTGAGGAATCGAACCCAGGGCCTCATGCATGCAAGGCAAGCGTTCTACCACTGAGCCACCTTCCCAGCCCTCATCTGCTCCTAGTTCTAATTCAAGTTTTTCCTTACTTGTGAGGACCTAGCACAGAGCTGATGCTCACCAAGTGTAAAGAATTTCTAAATGAAATATAGAAAGTACAGTAGGATATGGTACAATGAGGTTGTTTGCATTAAGATTTACTACTGGCTGCTGGTGGGAATGTACACTTATACAACCACTTTGGAAAGCAGTCTGGAGAGTCCTTAGAAAGCTAAAGATTGACCTCCCTTATGACCCAGTCATACCACTTCTAGGCATCTACCCTGAACAACAGGAACCAATATATAAGGACACGTGCACCTCCATGTTTATTGCAGCACTGTTCACAATAGCTAGGATATGGAAACAACCCACATGCCCCACCACAGATGAATGGATCCAAAAATTGTGGTATCGTACACAATTATGCAGCCATTAGAAAACAAAATAATGGCATTTGCAGGGAAATGGATGGAGCTAGAAGAAATCATGTTGAGCGAGATAAGCCAAGAGCAAAGAAACAAACGGTACATGGTCTCCCTGATAAGTGGATGTTAAATCCTAAATGTTAGGTGATACGACAAAATTAACAGGACTCATCTGGTCAAACCACTACTAAATATCCCCATGCTGCTGTTCATCACATGTATGGTGTATATGTGTACACCATTATATGTTATAGACGGTGATAGACAATTTGCTCCAGGAAAGTTAGAATGAGCTTGTGACTTTAAATGAGCATCATTATTCCACAATACTGTGAAATTTGGGAAATTATGTAATCACTTAATCACAATTAAAAAAAAAAAACCTCGGGGAAGGTAGGGAGGGAAGGGATGGTAGGGGGAAAACAATGGAGGGGGTAACAATGCTCAACAGGAAGTGTACTCATTACCTTACTCATGTAGCTATAACACTCTGTATAGTATCTTTACAATAAAAAATTTAAAAAGATTTACTACTGGGTGCCAGTGGCTCATGTGTATAATCCTAGCTACCCAGGAGACTATGATCCGAAGGATAAAGGTTCAAGACCGGCCCAGGTGGGAAATTCTATGAGACTCTTATCACTCTAGTTAGCCACTAACAAGCCAGAAGTACAGCTGTGGTTCATGTGGTAGAGCACCAGCCTCAGGATGGCATCCAGACTCTGAGTTCAAGCCCTATACTGGACTACCATACTTTGGGGTTACCATTATTAGTTAAGAGAATTAGCAGTTGAGAACTGAGAGAATTGATCAGATTCAGTTTACTGTTTTACAATAAATAAAATTGTTTAGCAAACTCTTATTTCTACATTGCATACAAATGTGTACATGGCATTATAAGTCTAGTGTCTTATTTTGGGTGGAAGGTTGCAGATTATTTGATTTCTTGGTTTATTTTAAAAATAAGTCCAGACTGGCTCCGTGCACAGAAACAAGAACCCAGGTTCCATCCCTAGCACCAAAAGAACCCAGGGGAAAAAGTGTAGATTCTCTCCCTGTGCACCCTTATTTGCGTTGGCCCTGGTGAGACAAAGGGCATTGGCCATGTAGGAGTCCCTCCTCGTGGGGACTCGCAGGACCTGGCTGCCCCTGCAGCTGTGTCTCCTGTACGGGTGTGGACTTTAATGGTTCTAAGTCCCCGCTAACTCACAGTACTATTTAAGACTAGCCCTCTATACTTGAAGTTGCTTGGAGGCTGCTCAAAGGCAAAGATGCATGCATCTCTCGATTACCATCTACAGATAACTTGTTCCTTTCTCTTCCTCTTCCAGTTACTGCAAACATGTGACAACCTATGAAGAGTCAAATTTTTCTCTGAGTTATCAGTTTATAATAAGTGCATTCTCCTTCTTGCTGAGAATAAAGACTTCCTTACTCCATGAAGAAGTAAGCTTAGTAGAAAAAAAACTTTTTAAAAAAAAATACAGTGAAGCAAAACAGAGCTCTTCAAGATCCAAAAGAGAGAAAAAATAATGGAAAAATGAAGTAGAACCTTCTTGGAAAAATAATGGTGATGATGATGACCAGTTGTTACATAACACTCCAGGAAAGTGTGGAAAATATAATTATTGCACATATATTTATACGTATACATGCACACACACGTATATATGAGTGTGTCAGATGTACTTATAAAAATACATGTTGTTAAAAACAGAAAATATACATTGTAAAACAAGTGATCTTTGAGTTTAAGTGGGTATTTTTTTTTTTTTTGGTTGGTCCTGGGGCCTGAACTCTGGGCTGGGCGCTGTCCCTAAGCTCTTCAGCTCAAAGCTAGCACTGTACCACTTGAGCCACAACACCACTTCCAGCTTTTTCTGCTTATGTGGTACTAAGGAATCAAACCCAGGGCCTCATGCTTTCGAGGCAAGCACTCTACCACTGAGCCACCTACCCAGCCCTAAGTGGGTATTTTTTGAAAAAATTAAATTGTACAAATGTTATCTAGAAATTTGTATTCATTCTAAAGTTAAATGTGTTTTGCTTACATGTATATATACATGTGAATAAAGTATGTCTATAAATAGTTATGCATATCTGTGTGTATACACATATATGTACATGTGTGTTTATTTTTTTTTTTTTAGGCAGGCTCTTTCTCTGTAATCCAGGCTATCCCTGATCTTGAGATCCTCCTGAATCTATCTCCTGAGTACTAGGATTATAGGTGTGGACCACTATGTGCAGTTTTAAGTTATGTATGGGGCCTGGGCGCTGTCCCTCAGCTCAAAGCTGGCACTCTACCACTTGAGCCACAGTACCTCTTCAGCTTTTCTGGTGGTTTATTGGAGGTAAGAGTCTCACCGACTTGCCTGCCCAGGCTGGCTTTGAAACGTGATCCTCATATCTCAGCCTCCTGAATAGCTAGGATTACAGGGGTGAGACACCAGTGCCTGGCAAAAAAAGAGTTTCTTTAGTCTATCAGTAGTTCTTGCAAAACAAAGAATATGAGAAGTCATTTGCAAAACAAAGAATATGAGAAGTTATTTTCAGGGGGAGAGGCCAGGTTTGAAAAAAAAAATCTCATCCAAGAAATACAAAGAGATACTATTTTCTACATCTTAGATTGGAAAAGATTTTTGCAGATTTGTGTAATACCTGGTAAGGATATTGGAAAATTAGTCCTTTCTGTTCAGATTTCACTTGTTTATGCAACGAATACTTTTCTGGGTAGCTGCTGTATTCTGGTCATGCCCTGGGTACCAGGGACAGAATTAAACAAGGTCCCTTCTCTAAGGATCATATATATTATATCTGTAATCCTATCTGCTCAGGAGGCTGAGATCTGGAGGATCATGGTTTGAAGCCAGCCCAGGAAGAACAAAATTCCATCCAAAGTAACCAGAAAAAAATCCAGGCTGGAGGTATGGTTCAAGTGGTAGAGCACCAGCCAGGCTAGCACAAGACCCCGAGTTTAAGCTCCAGTATTGGAAAAAAAAAATACAAAGAAGAAAAAAGGGACAGGAGGGTGTCCTATAAAGGGACTCTGGAGCCAGGGGCCAGCGGCTCACACCTGTAATCTAGCCTATCAGGAGGCTGAGACCTTAGGATCACGGTTCAAAACCAGCCCAGGCAGGAAAGTCTGTGAAACTCTTATCTCCAATTAACCACCAAAAAACTGCAAGTGGCACTGTGGCTCAAGTAGTAGAGGGCTCGCCTTGTGCGGAAGAGCTCAGGGACATCACCAAGGCCCAGAGTTCAAGCCCTATAACCGACAAAAAAGAAAAGGGGGGTGTGGATTTGTAGGGGATCAATTTGCATGAAGTCCAGTACAAAGATAAAGACATGTGGCCACTCAGGGAAGGTCATTCTATGCAAAAGGATTAAATGCAAAGGCCCTGTGGTCGAACATGCTTGATAGATTGAAAGAGTATTGAGTTGTTGAAAGTGTCAGGTGTGGGGCTGGGAAGGTGGCTCAGTGGTAGAGAGCTTGCCTTGCCTGCCTGAGGCCCTGGGTTCGATTCCCCAGCACCACATAAGCAAAAAGAAAAAAGCTGGAAGTGGCGCTGTGGCTCAGGTGGTAGAGTGCTAGCCTTGAGCTGAAGAGCTGAGGGACAGCGCCCAGGCCCTGAGTTCAGGCCCCACGACCGGACCCAAAAAAACAAAAAGTGTCAGGTGTGGTATTGAAGGGTGAATGGTACAGATGGCTAAAAGAAGTTGCTCTGTGAGTCAAGGCTACTGCAAGGAATTGGGCTTTTATCCCAAGTGTGTCATGGGAAGCTGTTGGGAAATTTTAAGCAAAAGTTTGAGGAAGTTCTCTTCTGCTATCTATGAGATAGTCATATGGTTTTCTTTTTTGTCAGTAAGGTAAATTACATTGAGTTTCAGATGTTAAACCAACCTTGCATTCCTAGGATAAATATCACTTTGTCCTCATCTGTTATCCATTTTATATATTCTTCATTTTGATTGAATTATCTTTGGTGTGTATATTTTATTTATTTGACAGTCATGGGTTTGAACTCTGGGCCTGGGTGCTGTCCCTCAGCTCTTCAGCTCAAGGCGAGCACTCTACCACTTGAGCCACAGCACCACTTCTGGTTTTCTGGTGGTTTATTGGAGATAAGAGTCTCACGGCCTTTCCTGGCCAGGCTGGCTTTGAACCATAATCCTCAGATCTCAGCCTCCTGAATAGCTAGGATTACAGGCGTGAGCCACTGGCGCCCAGCTGTGTGTATTTTTGAGGCATGGTCTTCCTGTGTAGCTCAGGAACCCTTAATCCTGCCTCAGCCTCATAAGTACTAGGATTACATGCATGAGCCACCTTGCCCAGATGATGCGGTGAAATTTTATGAAGAATTGTTGTGTCTGTGTTCATAGAGCATGTTCGTGGCTTTCTGTGTGGTTTCTGTGTTTTGGTATCAAGGAAGCACTGCCATCACAGAATGAGTTGTGAAACATTCCCTTCCATTTGTATTTCCCAGACGCATTTGTATGGGCTTTAGTAGTGAAGTCTATGCTGGATTAGGAAAGCTCTCCTTATCAGAAGCTTTCTTTAACTACAGATTGAAATGTATTTTTTTTTTTTTTGGTCAGTCATGGAGCTTGAACTCAGAGCCTGGGCCCTGTCCCTGAGCTTTCCTCTGCTCAAGGCTAGCACTCTACCACTTTGAGCCACAGCTCCACTAAGGGTGTTCTGGTGGGTGGTTAGAGATAAGAATCTCATGGACTTTCCTGTCCCTGCTGGCTTTGAACTGCAATCCTCAGATCTCAGCCTCTTGAATAGCTAGGATTACAGGCGTGAGCCACCGGCACCAGCTGAAATGTCTTTAAGACTGTTTTCTATTACTTCTTGAGAAAACATTTCTCTTCAGAAGATTCTGTTAGAGGTGGGCACGGGTGAATCACACCTATACTCCTAGCTACTCAGGAAGCCTGAAGACTGGTTAAAAGCCAACACAAGCAGGAAAGTCTATGAGACTCTTTATGTCCAATAACTACTACAAAGCTGGAAGAAGAGCTGAGACTCAAGTGGTAGAGGACTAGCCCTAAGCAGAAAAAGTTAAGGAACTGTGCCCAGGCCCTGAGTTCAAGCCTCAAAACCAGCACACATAAAAAAAAAAAAAAGATTCTGTTAGAAACAGGAAGCTGGGCCACAGGCTGCAAAAATAAAATTGCAAGACATACCTGACAATGGTCTTATATCTATATAAAAAGTCCCCACAACAAGAAAGCAAACAACCCAGTGAAAAATGGGTGTAAGATGTGGCCAGATACTTCACCAAAGAAGACATACAATAAGCACGTACCAGTTAGGAAGACGCTAATCACAACCAGACAGATGCCACTGCACACCAGTGTTTTCAAAAACTGAGCATAGTAAGCTAAAGATTTGGAACAAATGGGGCTCCCACTGCTGGTGCTGGCACGATGGAGTCAGCCATGTCAGAAATCAGCCTGGCACTTGCTTAGTGAAAATCATACTCACCGTCAAACGTCGCCACTCCTACTATGAGGCATTTGCTCAGGTAAACTAAGCATTTTTCCACAGCAAGACATATTCCTGGGGGCTGGGAAGGCGGCTCAGTGGTAGAGTGCTTGCCTTGCATACATGAGGCCCTGGGTTCGATTCCTCAGCACCCCACAAGCAGAGAAAGCCGGAAGTGGTGCTGTGTCTCAAGTGGTAGAGCTCTAACCTTGAGCTGAGGAGCTCAGGGACAGTGCCCAGGCCCATGAATGACACCCCCCCCTCAAAAAAAAGACATATTCCTAACTTTACTTGGAATAGCAAAAATAACTCAAGTGACCATTCGCAGGTAAAGTAATAAATTGTAGCAGCATATCTTATAATGAAATGCCACTTTCCTACAAAAAGACAGGAAATTCTCTTCTACTTTGCTGAGTGGGGAGTTTTATATATCAGAAATCAATATTGTCATGTTTGTTGTTGTTTTCCATCTGCTTTTTTTAGATCTATGAGATTATGAGATTGCATCTGTTCAGACAAAAATATCCCTGATCAAGAATAGCATCTGGGGAAGAATATAAGATTTAATAAGTTTTTATTGTGAAAATACTGTACAGAGGGGTTCACATGAGCAAGGTAATGAGTACATTTCTTATCAAGCATTGTTGCCTCCTCCTTTGTTTTTCCCCTTCCATCCCTTTCCTCCCACCTCCACAACTACATTCGATCTATGTCTCTTATAAATGAAAAATGGCTTTTAAAGATTTGAACTGAAAATCTTTTTTGGAAGATTTTCTTTTCTGTTTTTCTGTTTTTCCTTTTTGTTGTTGTTGTTGTTGTTGTTGGTTGTGGCACTTGAACTTCGAGCCTGGGCACTGTCCCTGAGCTACTCAGCTCAAAGTGAGCACTCTACCACTTGAGCCTCAGCACCACTTCCGGCTTTTTGGTGGTTAATTGGAGATAAGAGTCTCACAGATTTTCCTGCCTAGGCTGGCTTTGAACCACAATCCTCAGATCTCAGCCTCCTGAGTAGCTAGGATTACAGTTTTGAGCCACCAGCACCCAGCTTTTTGGAAGATTTTAATATTGAGATGCTGTGACACTTCAGTTGAGTGACAAATTGATGCCATTACCAGGGTGTGTTTGCTTTAATAATATTTGAACAGCTCATAACTATGAGAAAGATCAACAAGGGAAAAAGGGAAGTGGAAGAAGAGGCTTTGTATGTATGCATCTCAAGTACTATGAAGTAACAGGGAAGATTAATGAAGAAATGTTTCTCTCTGGGT